GGAATAATTCCACAAGTCTGTTTGGATTCTCCATGCTTGCATGCTTGTGATTTTTTTTTTTAAAGTGAACTCGTGAGTCAATTCTGAATGGTCAACTTCTGGAAAGAAGAGAGAAGACTTTGGTTCATTAGGCAAAGAACTCATTAAGCAGAGAGGTAGCACAATTGTGGGCTGTGAAAATGGTTGTGGTTAGCTCCTACACTCTCCACTTGATGTTAATGTTAAGTAGGCTATGACAGAGTTTGGCTTCTTGCGTTTCAGAATTTGAAGCATTAGCAGTCCCAATCTCATGTCGCTTTTTACAAGTATGAAGCACCAATGGAAAAGTTTAAAATAACAGTTAACTGTCCTGGAACTCTTGAGGAAAGCTTGCCAGGACAGTGAGGATGAGGGTTGGACACTACAATCAGATTATATTAATGGAGCTTGGCTTCTTTGTTTTTGTGCAAATGTATTTTTTAATGGAGGAAAAAGGACTCAAGCAGTGGCTCTGAGGATGAGGGTTGGACACTACAATCAGATTATATTAATGGAGCCTGGCTTCTTTGTTTTTGTGCAAATGTATTTTTTAATGGAGGAAAAAGGACTCAAGCAGTGGCTTTCCATCTCTCTGCGGGAAGCCAACCACAGATTTCCTCTCCACCGCAGAGCAAGGATGGATGCCTGGAAGATGCTCAGCGCTAGCTTGAATAAAATTAAATGACTTTATCATCTGACCAATCCTCACATGGAAATGATGACATAACACTATTTCATATAAGTTACTGTCAAGTCATTCAATTTTAAAACCATTTCACATTGCTTGATTTGTTTTATACGCTCACCCTTCCCAGGTCACAGTTAATGTTCGATTTTACGAAGCGGTCAATGCAATAATTTCTCCAGTGCATCAGTTCAGCGATTTCAGGAAGGAAATGACATGGCACACCAGACAGATGGGTCACCCAGTTTCAAAATTAATGAACTGAGGTTTCCTTCTGCGATCAGTTATTGGACACCAGATGACTGGAGGCAGTTAGCAAGATCAGCCATGCCACTGTTGCAACTGTTTCAAGCCATAGGAAAGGGTACACATCTGGCAGAAACCCAGCAAATAATTGAAAAATCATGTAGGATGAAACCTCTTACGATGGTTTAGAGCAGGGATGGGCAATTCGTGTCCTGGAGAACCACTGTACTGCAGAGTTTAGCCCCATCCTTAATCAAACACACCTTCCTGTAATTTTCAAGAAGTCCTAAAGACCTTGGTTAGTTTTTTCAGGTGCATTTGATTATGGATGGAGCTAAACTCTGGGCTGGACCAGACTGGAATTGCCCGTACCTGCTTTAGAAAGTCCAGGTGAGAAACCTCTGGACTTCTGGAGTTGCTCTTCAATTCTGGTCCTGGAAAGCGACTGTTCTGCAGTGTTTAGTTCCAGTCCTGATCAAACTCACCTGCCTGTGATTTCCTAGTATTCTTGAAGACATTTTAGCTCAGGGGTGTCCAGTCCTGCTCCTGGAGGGCCACCTTCCAGCAGAGATTAGCTCCAGCCTTAATTAAACACGCCTCAACTAATCAATGTCTTCAAGATCTCTAGAAAGTTCCAGGCAGGTGTGTTGGAGCTCCGCAGGAACCTGACCCTCCAGAAGAAGAACTGGACACATCTGTTTTAGCTGGTTCTGGACCTTGAAGAGTTAAAGAGCTATAGTCAAACCTTGACATTACCAAGAGGGGTTTGCTAGGATTTTCAGGTCTACATCAGCAGTAGCCAACCCTGTTCCTGCAGAGTTTAGCTCCAACCCTAATCAAACACACCTAAACCAGCTAATCAAGTTGTTCAAGATTACTTTAAGAGCGTGTTGGGACAGAGTTGAAACAGAAGCCTGTGGGAAGGTCGTCCTCCAGGAGCAGGGTTGGCTAGCCCTGGTCTACATCAGTGGCTCCCAATCCTGGTCTCTCTAACCCAGGGGTCTCCAAACTCAGTCCTGGAGGGCCGGTTTTCCTGCAGAGTTTAGCTCCAACTTGTCTCAACACAACTACCTGCAAGTTTCTAGTATGCCTAGTAAAGGCTGATTTATACTCGACGCGTCCGCAAGTTCGCTTAGGTGCGCGCGGCAAATATGACGTCATCGTGGTGTTGGCGGAAGTTCGCTTTGAGTGCACCGGTGATTCCCAATGGTTTTAGAGGACAATTACTCCTCGTCGCCCCCTGTTGTTTCAAAGAATAGTACAACGGCGAATGCAACAAGTATAAAAGCCTCGTCCATTTGGGAAGGTGCGTGCGCAGTCAGCGGAGGCTCGCGAAGCGGAGCCAGGCGAAAGTATAAATCCGGCTTAAGACCTCAATTAGCTGGTTCAGGTGTGTTTAATTAGGGTTGGAGCTGAACTCTGCAGGACACCAGCCCTCCAGGACTGAGTTTGGAGACCCTTGCTCTAACCTGACAAACACATTTGAGGTTTTGGAGTCTTTACTAATGAGCTGATGAGTTGAATAAGGTGTGTTTGATTAGGCAGACATCTAAAATGTGCAGTATTGGGGGTTCTCCAAGACCACAGATTGGGAACCACTGGTCTACATAATCTATAGCTGTGTCCGAATTCAAAGGCTGCATTCGAAGACCAAATGCATCACAGAGGCGCAACAAAGGCAGTCTCAATTCGAAGGCTCCTTCAAACACGGTCCATTTAGGTTACTACAGATGGATCCTTCACAGCCCAGACTATCCCAAGAGTCATTGCGTGCATGTGAGATGACAGGAGTTTTTGAGAGAAAATGTTGGTTTGACTTTTTAAGGTAAGTACTGGGTTTCAATTTAATTGAATATCTAACGTTACAACACACTTCAAAGTGGTTTAAATGTTGACACATCTACAGTACAAAGTACAAATGTTACTATCGCTCGTCAACGCAACTGTCTCAGTTCCTAAGCGACAAAACCATCCCATTTAACAACGTTGGTTCGACCTTTCCAGTCTTCAGAGAATTCCTTTGAAACAAGGTTTTGTAGATATGAGCCATGGAAATTTTCAAACATGACCCACACTAACTGGCCTGCGTCTTCCCCATAGGACAATACCTTCTGTCAGACACCAGTTATAGATGTAACTAGGCACATACTAAATCACCATACTTTTTCACTCATTTGGCAGATATAAGCTAAAGAAGTTTCTCAATATGATGATTAATTGACACGCTTTCATTTGCAACAGTTTTTGTGCCTACCACCCTTTTTGCACATTACCCTCTAATGAAACTACATTACTTAAAGGAATGACTTCCCAGAAGCACAGATTGAGTCACTTATTCACGTTGGATTTAACCTTAGCAATAACCATAATGCATGGCTTGAGCCTTCTTATTTTACGAGGTTTATAAATAAAGCTCCTGAAGCAGTGTGATGGGTAATGCTCCCAGTTTATAAAAGCATGATATGAAAAGGGGAGTCGGTGCACAGCTGGCAGGGGCATGAGGTCGCCCATCACTGAGCGGCTGTTGCGTTATAGAGGGAACGTGCCAGTGTTTACATAACATCAGCCTCTGCCACAGAGCTGTGCCTATTACAAACATGGCAACCCCGCTGCATGGGAGACGACTATACAATCTGATAATGTAAGGTAGGAACGAGACGGCTTAGACTGTTGGTTTAACACATTGGTTTAGACTAGAATTTTGATTAAAAAAAAAAAAAATCTTTTAAGTGGTTTAATTAAAAATATATTCATAAAATTGACAATTTTTTTCTTGTAATATACATAAACTGTAATTACATACAGTAATTTTATTTCTTTCAGTAATGGCAAAATCTGTAAAATAACATTCAGACTATCAAATTTATCTTTTAATATACCTAAACAAAATCTAATTACGTTTTATATATATCTATATATATATAATTTACGGATAATTAGATCATTTTATTTTGTTTTAACGATTTTACCAATATTACAGAAAAATATAACATTATATATTTATATAATTAGTGCTAAATGTTAACATGTTTAAGAAAAGAATAAGGCATTATTAAAAAATGTAGAGAGAACAGTTTATAATATATTTTGAGACATTTTCAGTCAGACATTTGCAATTGATAAAATAATCTTTAAAAGCGCATGGATCATACAGAGAGATGATTACAATATGAATGCAAACAAGCTTATCATAACATTTGAAGTACCTCAAAATACACTTCCCAACCCAAGATGACGTATGTACAGAATATACACAATTTACACCCCTCACACTGAGGGAGGAATATGTTTGACTTGTATACTGTTTGAACATAGAAAGAAAGTGGCGTGTTCATGCTAACATGAGTTTTCACAAGATTTTCTCTTCCAAAACTGAAGTAGAATAGTTAAGTAAATTATGTAACGAAAGTATTGTTTTTCGAAATGATGTAAACGTAAATAGCTTAATCCTTGCTCTACAGTCATACACCGATGCAATTTACTGAAATGTACTATTTAGCTAAAAATGGGCCTCATTTATGAAACACAAGCCGAATGGATTTGTGTAAATTGTTTGTAAAACCAGTCGCATTTACTTAATGTTTTATCGACACAAAAATTCATTCAGCATGTTTCATAAACGAAGTCCTATGGCTCAAATATTACATTACTCTCATTCATCTGAAAATCTATATGGAGACCAATGGATCCGTGAATGAAATCCTATATGTGACCCTGGGCCACAAAACCAGTCATAAGGGTCAATTTATTTTTAAAACTGAGATTTATACATCATCTGAAAGCTGAATAAATAAGCTTTCCAAGATTTGGCCGAGATACAACTATTTGAAAATCTGAGGGTGCAAAAAAAACTAAATATTGAGAACATTGCCTTTAAAGCTGTCCAAATGAAGTCCTTAGCAATGCATATGACTAATCAAACATTAAGTTTTGATATATTTACGGTAGGAAATTTACAAAATATCTTCATGGAACATGATCTTTACTTAATATCCTAATGATTTTTGGCATAAAATAAAAATCTATAATTTTGACCCATACAATGTATTGTTGGCTATTGCTACAAATATACCCCAGCGACTTAAGACTGCTTTTGTGCTCCAGGGTCACAAATGAAACGTTTACAATAAAAACGCAACAATTCTGCTGGTGTCACCCAGATTATGTGGGCAGCACCATTGATTTCATAAAAAAAAAAATTCATGCCAATGTCAATGAAGACAAAACCTAATGAAACCATTTTATATTATGCACAATAATCTGCAGCCAATCCGATTTGGAAGAAATCCCACACTGCAGTAATGTTGAGGAAGTCTGCTGTGTTCGCTCAGTAGCGGTTGAGCTTGTCTGGGTCGTTCGATGCCATCTGAGAGAAGTCTTGGAAGATGTCCTGGTACGTCTCATCTCCTGCAAAGAGAAAACCGCTCGATTATGGAGGAAGTAGAGAGCGTCTATACTCAAAACTCAAATCTCCAGCCAGAGAGAGGAGCGCATACCTGTGCTACCTCACAGCAGAAACTCAGAGCACGCAGCAGCAGGAAAGGAGGAAATGCAGAGGTGAAAAGCACGTGATGCAGATGAAGTAGATTTACTGACCGTTTACATTGATCTCTCTTGATATTTATCATTTAGTAGCACATAAAACACATTTTGATGAAATACTGTCAAGTGTTTGGCAAAGTGTGTTGATTTCTGTTTAAAGAAACATTCTGGGTTCAATACGAGTTACGTGAGATACATAATTACCACATAAAATAACAACCAGTGTCATAACAGTGAGAAATAAAGCAGATACATGAAGAGAGCGGTTCAGAAATAACACATACAACATTGCTTTGCAGAATTATATATAATAATACCATCATTTCCGACCTTTATTTGCATACTAATAAATCTGAGACTGCTTTTAGACTGCTCTGTAAAGAAACTGCAGGAATGATACGATGCTTAAATGTTTAAAAGAGCTCAATTAAAATCAGTGAAAATCAAAGAGGTAAACATCTGTCGCCAAATGGAGCAGAGGAAGATGAAAGCCTCTGGACAGCAGCAGTGGGGTGTAGAGTCCAGCTCTACTGCGCCCCTCTGAGACCCACGCAGTACTGCAGCTCCTGCTAATAATCCGGACAACTCATTTGGCACATTCACTTAAACTAAATTAAATGATCAAAATATCATATTTATAGCAACATTCAGACCGTCAAATTTATCTTGTAATATACATAAACTCTAATTACTTAAAATATTTTAGCTATTTTACAAAAAACTATAAAATACAATTTTACAGACAATTACATATAATTTAATTTAACATATTTAATTATTTTAAAATTATATATATATATATATAAATATTAAATATAATTTACATATTTAATAAATTAAAATGTATTAATTTGACCAATTATATAAAAATCCTTTATTCTTTAGAGAATAAATTATATATATATATTTAAAGGATTTTACCAATATTACAGAAAAAAAACATTTATAACTTTATATATTTATATAATTAATGCTAAACGTGTGAATATCTTCTCATTTTATTTCTTTCTGTAATGTAAATTCTGTCAAATTTCAACTGATCTGCATAAAACCAAAGGCTGCTACATAAAATATTTTTTAAAAAGTTTGAAGTTTAAAATTTTACTTTGTGCTAAAATAGATTTTCAATATAGATACATTTTTTTTTTTTTTTACTGTTATCGTTAACAAAACATGCATTCATAATTACTGATATATTATCTATGGTCAAATACAGTGTTGTCTAACACTGAATTATACAGATCTACTATGTCTTCACAAATGTAATATTTATAAACATACTGATTTGATTTCACTTCCTCAAGTATAATATTGTGATAAATATCAGGAATGCGCCAGAGTGATCATGAATATACTGAGTGGGCCGAGTTTTCATTACACTACTCTTACAGACCGACCGTTTTAAGACACATACACACAATGTAAATAAGGTGCATGTTTTCACATCACTCTTTCACAAGACTAGTTATTGCACATGTCCTATTATTGTTCACTTTACATTCAAATACTAAGCTAGATGAACCCATCCTGGGGACAGTTGAAGCTCAGCTTCATGTGATATCTGTGTACATTCACTGGTTTTGTGCGTTGGCGATTTCGGCATACATCAGGAGTCTCTGAGCTGTAAGTTAATGAACTCCTCCATACATTTCCGATACTGCATTTCAGTGGGGCTGTTAGAGTTATATTGACCTGACTGACTATACAGACCCTCTGATTCACGCATCTCCTCGTTCATCTTGGCCAGCCGCAGCCTGCGCACACAGAAACACATTCAACCGTTAACACTTAATGTCTCGACACTGCTGTTTGTGTTTGTACCTTTTGAAAAAGAAAGCTATGGCAACTCACAGCGTGACAATATCAGCGTTTGCTGCCTTGACCGCGATTGAAAGCGGTGTTTGATTCTCGACATCTGCTGCATTCTGATTGGCTCCCCGTTTCAGAAATAAACACGCTTGCCTGCAGCAGCAGAAAAAAAAAATCATAACATTAAACCAGGAGTCACAACTAAGAAATGTGCACAACATTCAAGCAACGGAACAGAAACAAAACCATTTACGAAACAAGACCTGAGTGTTGAGCAGAACTGACCCGGTGTGTCCCAGGAGAGTGGCGTGATGTAAAGGCCCTCTGCCCAGATTGTCCTGCTGGTTGACGCTGGCCGAATTCTGGAGCAGGAATTCACAGCTGGCCAGAGACCCCTGATACAGACACACAGGTGATAAACTCATCACACACTTTCAAGCACTCAGCCTTTGCCAGAAGATTAAAATAAAACAGCATTCATAATCCATAACACTTCTGTAATGTGATGCATTTCACATTTAAATTTGGCATGCACTGATGAATCATACAATAAAACCAGGACCATTTAGTATTTTAATGTAAAGAACTAACATTATTTTAAAAGTAAAATAACCTAATGTGTATATTTAACTGTTGTAAGTCGACGAAGCAAAAAGCAAAACAAAGCAGAAAAACAAAACAAAAATAACAAATGAAACAAAGCCAAAACCAAACAACAAAATTAATAAATAAAATTAAATAAAAAAAATAAAAAAGCAAAATACTACACAAAACAAAACATACAAAAAACAAACACAACACAAAGCAAAAATTAACCAAAGACAAACAAAATTAAAATAAAACGTTCAAAAGAAAACCAAAAACAAAAATTTTAATGCACAAACGAAAACAAAAAACAAAAGAAAACAAAACACAAAAGATAACACACAAAAACTTATAATGCACAAAAGAAAATAAAAAACAACAAAACAAAAGAATTAAAAAACAGTCTGTGTGTATTCAGGTTTAAGTCCCCACCAGAATAGAAAAACAGGTACACACACACACACACAGACTCACACACTCACGCACACACACACACACACACACACATACTTGTATTTGTGGTTTACGGGGACTCTCCATAGGCGTAATGGTTTTTATACTGTACAAACTGTATTTTCTATTGCCCTACACCAACCCTACCCCTAAACCTACCCCTCACAGGAAACTGCTGCAAGTTTTTGAATTTCATAAAACACCGTTTTGTATGTTTTTTAAGCCTTTTGTTTTACGGGGACACAGGAAGTGTCCTCATAAACCATGTTTACGTTGTAGTACCCATGTCATTATACACATTTGTGTCCTCATAAACCATATATACCTGTACACTCTCTCACACACACACTCTCCCTCTCACACACACACACACACTCACACACACAAGAATAGCTGTGTATAATGTCATGAAGAAGTGAATCTGGCTCTTTCACACCAATCGATCAGGTCTGATGTGTGTTCTCCTCACCCCATGAACAGCCATTATGAGCGGCGTCCTGTTCTCGTGGTCTGTGTTGGTCCAGTTGACTTCTGCTCCATGGGCGAGAGCTTCAGCCATGTCCGGCAGACTGCGGGAGAAAGACGCCCAGTACAGCTGCAGGCCCGGCGTCAACTGCTTGGGCTCGCAGAAAACCTCCAGATCTTCACCAGAACTCTCCTCGTGTGGCTCTGGGGCTTCTGAACGACAGATGATCAACAGCACATGAGAACCATCACCCAATCTGTGTCCAGAACAGTGGCAGCTCTGGAGATCAGACAGACCTGTGCTGTTGAGCGTGCTGGAGGAAGCCTCTCTGCTGCCATCTGTGAGGTTCTTCATGTCACCGTCTGAGCTTTTCACTGTCAAACAGAGAGTTACACTTGCACAGACTCTTCTGTTACACGGTGTGCAAACCAGCACCAAACACACAGCGTCCAACAGAGAAGACAAACAGGCAAGAGCGATGGAAATGGAAATTTGGAAATTTAGTACTAAATATAATGTAGAAATTTAATTTTCTGTAAAGCTGCTTTGCAACGATTTGCATCATGAAAAGCGCTATACAAATAAACTTGAAAACTTGAAAATGTATGTTGATGTTGAGCGATGGAGAGATGATGCAACGTTTTCTTCATAGAGAGCCAGCAGGGCGTTGATTGGGCAAATTTTAGAATTTGAATTCAACTTAACACGCAATTCGGTCTAAACTTGAACTGAGTTAGCAATCAGGATGCGAAATTACTGAATTTTAATTTTAATAAGGAGAATTAAAGTCGAACAACATTCAAAGAAGATAAGAAAACCATTAGTAGTAGCAGTTTTTAATACTACATTTAATTTTTCATGTTCACACACATCAAATGGGGAAATTCAGAAAAACTAAAATGTAATCAATATAATCAATATTTGAAATCAGAAATTTGTGTCTATTTTTAAAACCTTTAAGAGGTTACAGCTCAATATAAATGTATAATGAACAGATTCACATTTTGATGTCAGCATTTACTTTTATAAAGTGAAGAGATACATTTGTAGAGATTTTGTGCTCATGCAAAATGTAAAATCTGTTTTATGGTTGTAATAATCATTCTGGCAGTATTTAATTTCGTTTTTAAGAAACCTGTCTAATCAATTAAAGAAATGTATCTACATACTGTATGAGGAATAACATTTATTATATGAAAGTAAAAGCATTTATTGTGTTTTACTGTGTAAAATAATCTATTGTGCATGATCGGATATATGAATGGCAATAAATAGGCATAATTAGTCAAAATTAATAATATTATAGTTCATTATGTTTGTTTATAATTAAGTATAATATGATTCATGAAAATGTATTACTTTGTCTAAATTTTTTTGTATGACTATTGAATTTCATTGAATTGCAATTCAGTAAATTTATCTTCCTGTCATTCAATGCTATTTTAGTATCATTAAAGGCACAATATGTAATTTTCGCCGCTGGAGGGCGCGTATTCAAAATAAACAGAAGAGACAAAGGTGTAGTTTGATGACAGCGTGACTGAGTGTGGAATCATGGGAGTTGTGGTCTTCATCCCCACAGCCGATGCAATCCGACGGGACTCAGGCAGAAATCATGTTCATGGATGAGCTAATGATT